TCTGGCGATGGATAGAGATAGAGACAGAGACCCAAATTGGAGCACCGGACTAAGCTCTTAAGACCCAAATGAGGAGCAGAAGGAGAGAGAACATGAGCAAGGAAGTCAGGTCCACGAGGGGTGCACCCACCCGCTGTGACAGTGGAACTGATCTATTGGGAGCTCATCAAGGCCACCGGGGCTGGGACTGAATAAGCATGGGATGAAACCGGACTCCCTGAACCTGGCGGACAATGAAGGCTGATGAGAAGCCAAGGACAATGGCACTAGGTTTCGATCCTAATACATGAACTGGCTGTGTGGGAGCCTAGCCCGTTCGGATGCTCACCTTCCTGGTCCTGGATAGAAGTGAGAGGACCTTGGACTTCCTGCAGGGCAGGGAACCTGGAACTGCTCATCATTCTCAAGAGGGAGGGGGAATACAGTGGGAGGGAGGGGGAGAAAGGTAGGGGAGTGGGGGAGGGGAGATGTGTGGGAGGAGGGGGAGGGAAATGGAAATGGGGAGGAGGCGGTAATTTTATAAATAAACAAATAAATAAATTAAATAAATAAAAGAATTTAATGTTTTCTTTGACTGTTGATTCTATTTTCTCTACAGTAGCTTTAACACCTGAGGTTCTCTCTTCCATCTCTTGTATTCTGTTCCTGCTCATTTTCTCAGAATTTTATTTCCAGAATTCCCTATGTTTGTGTTTTCTTTATTGACCCTATTTTAGTCTTCAAGTCTTTAACTGTTTGAACTATTTGCTTTACCTGTTTTATTGTCTTTTCTTGGGTTTCTTATGTTTCTTTAAGAGGTTTATTGATTTCTTCCAATCTTTTGTTTGTCTTTTCTTTCATTTCTTTAATGGAATTTGTTTCCTCTTTAAATGTCCCCATCAACTTCATAAAGTTAGATTTAAAATCTTTTTTTCTGCTTCTTCTGGGTCATAATGATCAAGTCTTCTTGTTGTATGACCACTGGTTCTGGTCATGCATGTTGCTTTTTAAGATGTTGAATGAATTCTTGCATTGTTTGCCTACCCATCTCTTCCTCCAGTTGGTGCCAGCAACATTTTTACCTCTTGGTCCAATCCTTGCTGTCTGTGTCTTTGGGAACTGTCCTTGGTCTGCTCTATACTGTCACTGTCTGTGTCTCAGGGAGCCACTGAGAGCTCCCTTGGCCTGCTCTCTTGGTCCACTGTCTTGGTCTACTCACTTCATTTGCTCTCATGATCCATTCTGTGCACTCACAGACTGTGCTTGAGAGTTCCTTTCTTGGTCATCTCTCTTGGTCCTCTCTGTGTAGTTGCAGCCTCTGTTTCAGAGTTCCTCTGAGGTCACAGGGGGATAGAAGGGTTTCCTTCTGGAGAATTTAAATTAACTAATGTGATATATAAAGACTGTTGTGATAAGGAAAAATATGACATTAATTGTAAATCATTTTGACCACAAATACACATCTATCACTGTCATGCTGGGTAATATCTCAAGGATTAATTTTTTCTCATTAGAAAAGTGGAAACACCAATAGGACCTTCCTCACTCATTTGTGAGTGCATTCAAATCTCATACTCAGTATGATATATATGTCTGACATGCTTTGAGTTTTCGCAAGTTAAGAAACATTTAAAGCTGGGTGGTGGTGATGTATGCCTTTAAACCCAGCACTCAGGAGGCAGAAGTAGGCAGATTTCTGTGAGTTCAAGGCCAGCCTGGTCTACAAGAACTAGTTACAGGACAGCTAGGACTGATACACAGAAAAATTTTATCTCAAAAAAATAAAAAGAAGCATTTTGCCTTTCAAAAATATTATATACATATTTCATGCATAGCTACAAAAAGGAAATTCATGGAGCATATCAAAGTGCCTGAGCTATGAAGTAAAACACAGAAAATGGTAGGGTCTCCAGCATTCTAAGTGGAGGGAATATAATAAGAGGTAGTTACAGTGGCATAAATAAGGACACAAAAAGACAAGATGTAATTTTATGGAAGACATCAGTCTTCCATATTGAAGGAACACACAATTCTGTGGGAAATTTTGAACAACATTGTATTTCTAATTCCAAAACTAAACACTACTGGAACTGATTAATATGAACCAGTGTATGGATAAAATGGGAAATGCTACAAAGCACAGGGAATGAAATAATGAAGATCATCAATCAACAAACACCATGGCTGAATGGAAAGAGAAGTTCTGGGATGTTCTCACCAACAAGTAGCTGGATCTCCTGTAACTGATGGAAGTATCAAGATGGCTGTTATGCAGCTCATAACCGTGTGTATTTTCTCCTCCAGGGAATCTGATGCCTCCAACCTCTACATCCGTGTACATTCATGTGTACCTACACACATATAAGTAAAATTTTTAAATGCTTTTAAAGGTGTTTGCATATTATGAAAAACTTCTATAACTGAGCACTGAAAAGGAGAAAGAACAATTAAAGTGTGTCTTGATCACTGAGCTGAAAAACAGAGTTCAGTTGAATAGTTCAATGAAAACAGGTGTGGTGGGAGGCAGGAATAATCTGGACATATGAAAATGTAGAGCCTGTGTTGCTGCTACTAGATTGTATAGCTGGTAGTTTGGGGACTAGAAGGTAAGACGTGATTTCCACAGAAGTAGATAGTATGTATTACGTGATTTCAAGTCATATGAATGGATCACTAGGGGTTCACCAGTAGTTCCACTTTATTAAATTTATGTTCTTCATCAAACAGATGGTAAGAGCTTGCGAAGGAAGAAGTGAGTGGTATAAAGATCATTATTAACCCATCTATGTGTCTGCTTCACATTTTACAGGCACAACTGGGGACTGGAAGAATCACATTACAGTAGCACAAGCTGAGGCCTTTGATAAAGCATTCCAGGAAAACATGGCTGGATTTCCTCCAGAGCTATTCCCATGGAAATAAACTCTAAACACTAGAATCTTATATCTATACTGAATCTTATATGGATATGTTTATTTTTCTGTCATTATACATGTGAATGACTGGGTGTGGTCATAGAATAAGTATCTGTTATTTAATTGTGGATAATTATTTTAAAATACAATAGTAGTAATAGTGGTGGTGATGGAGGTGGTGATGGTAAAGGTGGTTGTATTGATGTTGGTGGTGTGTGCACATTTTTGTGTATAGTCCCTTTGAAGGCCAAAAAAGTGAATCTATTCCCTGCAGTGAGCTACAGTTACTGTAATATGCTTGGTTTGGGTCCTCGGAAGTGAATTCAAATCATCTGCATTTGCAGTACAGTGTTCTTAACCTCTAGCTCCAAATCTTAGAATCTTGAGTCATCAAATATATGCTTTTTTAGTTACCTGTTTGTTAATATATTGTCATGAAACTCCAGTGCCCTTCATGGAACTCAGATTAAAAGCAATCTTCGTTAAATATTAAAAATAAATAACAGTATAGGAAAATGTATTTTTTTTACTCTGTGACATTTGGGCAAAAATGGCCACACTAGCTGGTCAGAAGCAAGCCTCCTATAGAAAGGCTGCTCCTCCACCCCTGATCAGATCCTTTAATCTACAAGTCCCATTCTGCCTCCAAACCCACTTATTCCCAAGACCTCAGCTGCTCCCTGAGACACAGACAGTGACTGCCTAGAGTGGACCAAACGGTGAGCGACCAGCACCCCAGCATAGCCCCAAAAGTCTGCATTTTAAAACTGCATGACTTTTTTTCTTTTGCTATGACTGAGTCAGGAATACCGCTCTTTAAGGAGCTGTGGCACACCACCAGCAAACAGCAAGAAGCTGTGTTAAACTCTGTATTTGTGTGTCTACAATTAAGCTCTCTCAGGTTTTTTTTTAATTTTATTAAAATTTTCCAGTTTGATCACATGCTCCATCAGTCCCAGTCTAGCTGGCCTTGGTGAGTTCCCATTAGATAAGTTCCACCATCACATTGGGTGGGCGCACCCTTCGCGGTCCTGACTTCCTTCCTCATGTTCTCCCTCCTTCTGTTCCTTATTTGGACCTTGGGAGCTCAGTCCAATGCTCCAATGTGGGTCTCTGTCTCTATCTCCATCCATCGCCAGATGAAGGTTCTAAGGTGATATGCAAGATATTCATCAGAGTGGCTACAACAGGATAAGGCCATTTCATGCTCCCTCTCCTCAGCTGTCCAAGGAACTAGCTAGGACATGTTCTTGGACACCTGGGATCTCCTCTAGAGTCAAGTCTCTTGCCAATCACAAAATGGCTCCCTTAATTAAGATATATACTTCCCTGCTCCCATATCCACCCGTCCTCTATCCCAACCATCCCATTCCCCAAGGCTCTCCCCATCCCCCCTTCTCACTTTTCTCTCCCCATATCCTTTTACTCCCACCCCACCCCCACCCCCGAGCTCCCAATATTTGCCTGGCAATCTTGTCTACTTTAGACCATCACATTGTCACCGATATGTAGTAAGGAGTTCACTTGTTTGTCCCAGCCACCCAGAACTGAAATAACCATACAGAAACTATATTCATTAAAACACTGCTAGGACAATTAGCTCTAGCTTCTTATTGGCTAACTCTTATATTAATTTAACCCATTTCTAGTAATCTAAATATTTCCATGTGGCAGTGGCTTACTGGCAAAGCACATCTATCTCTGGTGGCAGATTCATGGCATGTCTCTGACTCGGCCCTTCTTTCTCCCAGCATTCAGTCCAGTCCTCCCCACCTACCTAAGTTCTGCCCTATCAACAGAGCAAGGCAGTTTAATGTGAATCACAACACAAAGAGTAGACTCCAACATCACAGTGTTATCTTTCCTTTTTATGGTTGAGGGTGGGGTTTTTATTGTAGATATGAGGGAGAATACAGCCAGGGACATCTGGAATAATTCAGAGAAGCTTCATATGCAAAAACAAAAAAATCCAGCACAGCCAAAACAATCCTATATAATAAAAGAACTTCTGGGGGGATCACCATCCCTGACATCAAGCTCTACTATGGAGCTACAGTAATGAAAACATCTTGGTATTGGCAAAAAAAAGAAAAAAGATAGGTGAATCAATGGAATCAAATCAAAGACTCTGCTATTAATCCACACACCTATAAACACCTGAATTTTTACAAAGAAAGTAAAATTATACAATGGAAAGAAGAAAACAAATTCAACAAATGCTGCTGGCATAACTGNTACTCAGTATGCTCAGGGTCCTGGCTTCAGTCCCTAGCAACACATACACACACACACACACACACACACACACACACACACACACACACACTGAAGAACAGGCAGACAAGCCCTCAAGCAAACAAAACTAAAAACAAACAACCACCCCTAAACTAGTGAACAGCAACAGAACAGTGGAGGATGCACCAGAGGTTTGCCGCGGAATTCTGAGCTTGCTGACCTAATGCAGGAGCCTGTTACTATGTGAACATGAACATGACTTAGCTCTTGGGGTCCTTGGCCGTGTGGAATACATGCCTGAGAAAGTTGACAGTGCAGTTCCTAGGAATTCTACCTCTGACTACCAACAATTTCTGCTTGTTAAAGGATCCATTTTTCAGGTGGACTGTTTTCTGTGTACTTTTTCTAACCACTTGTCTTAGGATAGCTTTTTTTGTTACACAAAGTGCTAAAGAACAACTTGGATAGAATTTACAGTTACTTCATATTATGTATATATATATGTATATATACATATATATATTCCTATGTATGACCTGCTCAGCCTGTATAATGTTGCTTGTATGTATGTCTTCAGGGACCCTTCCACTATTTGCGGGCCTCTTTCTCAGCTAGTCTTCATCTGCCATTCATGTCTTTTTTGAGTGTGAGTAACAAATACTCAAGGTGGGTGAGAACATGATTCTCTCCTTATGATGTGTGGTTATGAAACACAGATATTTAGCATCTTCTGCCACAAAGAGAGTTTTTAGATATAATCTCCACTAATGGGTTATAATTCCATGATTTGGACATTTGTCTCTGTGAAAGCAATGTGAGTATATTTTTAACAAGTTATGGACTCATGTTTTAAATAAAGGGTAAAGTACAAATGCATTACAGTATCTCTCTGTTTTTGTGTTCCACACAAAACTCAAGCCTTATGCAATCTGTGTGTATCAGACACTACTGGTTTTCATGGATCTGAAAATGGAGTATATAGAAGCTTTGGAATATAAGCTCAGCTTTGCCATTTTGTAGGTTTATGTTTAGGTCAAGAAAAATTTTTCTTTGAAGCTTGCTTCAGTCTACCTAATACTGTTGGTAAAGTACCAACCTCGGTTCTGAGAAAATGAGAAAACATTACCTTTAGTGCTAGTGACAAGAGCCTCAGGAAATAATAACTATCCAGTTGAGCAAGAAAGGAATAATGGGTTCTTTCTGATACTTGTCAGTCTTTCCAGAGGCTAAGATGTTCTGGTCTCTGATCAAAATGTTCTTCAGCATGTAGCACAAGACAAATCTTTAGACCATCCCTTGCTCATTATGTACAATTTTTTTTCATAATTTCCATAACTTCATGAATAATCAGGAACATATTTGCCATGTCACTGTGAAAAGTTATGATCATTATAAAGAGGATTAGAAGAATACTTTTTAACAAAGAAGGTAAGATATAAATAATTCAAGAATGAACGAACTCTCAGACACAAATATCACTCTATAAATAAGAGGTATGGGAAATAACCTCTCATTCTCAGAAAAGTGTATATATATTCTTTTTCTAGTTCAAAACTGTGTTATGATAGAAAATAAGTAACTTCAAACAGTACCAATTTCTCTCCCAAATTAGGCTCCAAATGCAAAAGCAACACTTCAGAGTCACTAGGATGGCAAAGATTGAAAAGAGAAAATAAATTTTGTCTTCTGGATTGCTATCTCCTAGTTTTCTATTCATATACAATGAATTGTTCTGTAATTGGGCAAAGTCAATAATTTCAAATGAATATATGGGTATTACTTTACTGTCCATGTCTCAAAGAGAAAAGGATAGAGATTAAAGATAACAAAGTGAAAATTTTTCAGATTGGCTGTCTTTTTTGCAAAGCCAAATTCCCCCAAAAGGCAACACTTTTAGAATGACACCATGGAACACAATCTAAGATAGACATTGAGTCACTCTACATTTAGGACAAAAAGATTTCACTGTGTCTGAGAGTTCTTTCATTCTTGAATTATTTATATCTTCCCTTCTTTGTTAAAAAGTATTCTTCTAATCCTCTTTATAATGATAACTTTTCCCAGTGACATGGCAAATATGTGGAGGAAGCATGTGTAAGCAGACAGAGTAGGAGGAGCAGAAAGGGAGAGTATAAAGTCAGAAGCAAGGTTTGCTCCTGTGTGTGCCATCTGCAGGCAACTGGAGGTGATGAGACATCTTGTGGGCTGGCTGGTTTTAGCTGTCTGCATGTATGGACTGGATGCAGGTGAGGTGGAAAAGGCAGGGTGAGAGTTGAAGGGGAAGATTCCAGAGCTAGTAAGGACTGAGAAATGCTGACCACCCAAGGTCCAGTTGAAAGGCAGAAGGAGGGAGAAGATGAACAAAGAAGTCAGGACCGCGAAGGGTTGGTCCACCAACTGAGGCAGTGTGCCTGTTCTAATGGGAGCTCACCAAATCCAGCTGGACTGGGTCTAAATGAGCATGTAATCAAACAGGACTCTCTGATTGTGGCTGACAATGGGGGCTGACTAAGAAGCCATTGATAAAGGCACTGGGACTTGTTTTTGTGGCATGTTCTGGCTTTGGGGGACCCTAGTCTATATGGATGCACAGCTCCCTAGGCCTGGATGTAGGGGGGAGGGCCTTGGACTTCCCACAGGGTATGGTTCCCTGCCCTCTTTCAAGCAGGGTGGGAGAGGGAGGAGGGTATGTGGGGGAGCGGGAGGGGATTGGGAGGAGGAAGAAAGGAAAGAAGTGTAAATAATTGAATGGAAAAATAAATAAAAAAATAAAATTAAAATAAATAAAATTAAAATTAAAAAAAAGAAATGCTGAAGATCAACTGTTCATAATAGCTTTTCAGTCTAGCAAATCGAGAGCAGAGAGTCATGGATTCTACTTGTGTTCTTCCCCTCCTTGGTTGAGTGAGCACAGAACAGATTTTACCTGAGAAAGGGCCTCAGTATCAGTAGTTACACAGCAATAAAAAAATTTTCATAAAAGAGGAATGCTATGATGGATTGATTTAGAAATTTCTGCAAAGTCTGTTGCTAAAGAAGCAAGGTTTAAAATAAATAGATATGGCCCCAGATATTCTTTGCATCACAGTAATTTATTAATGCATTTTTAGCTGACTATTCACTGAAAGTATCTGTTTCAAGTGTTGAAAGTATAAGTTTCAAATACACATGACACGGGTTGCCAGTGGGGCAGATGTCAGGGTGAGTGGAATCAGATTCAGATTTGTGGGGGGGAAAATTCATCTTGATTCCTTACATAAGTCACTTGAAACTTGAACTACATGAATGGCATCCTCAGGAAACAAGGAAATGGAATGTAGAACAAGGCGTCTCATCTTACAGTGTAGTTGTGAGGGTCAATCAGGAACGGTAGAGGACTTCCTTAGAGTGGTCAGCATCCTGCAGCTATGTTCACAGGAATAGAGTGCTACAGAAAGTTGGGCTTTCCATGCATTGCAGCTTGAAAAAAAATGCAGAGCATTAGATGGAGTACCCTGAATGTTTAGTTGTTGTACTAGTATGTTTTAAAGAAGTCTCACATAGCCCAAGTAGACCTCATGTTCACTAGGTAAACAAAGATAGCCTTGAACTCCTGATCTTTCAGCTTCTACCTCCTGAGTGCTGAGATTACAGACAAATGTCATCATCCCTACTCAATTTATAGGTTGTTGAGATCAAGCCAAGACTTTTGTGTGTGCTATTCAAGCACTCAACCAACTAAAACATATTCTCAGCTCTTAGATAAGATTAATTTTTTTTAATTATAAACTGGTTGGTTTATTTGCTCAGGCTTCTTATTAACTAACTCGTACATCTTTTTTTTAATTTATTTATTNCCCTTGTCAGCCCAAAAAGCAATCAGGGTTCTCTGCCCTGTGGGAAGTCCAAGGACCACCCACCTCCATCCAGGTCTAGTAAGGTGAGCATCCACGAAACTGCCTAGGCTCCCACGAAACCAATAGGTCCAGTAGAATCAAAAACCCTCAAGGCCAGCTGGCCTGGGTCTGAAAAAGCCTGGGTCAAAACTGGTCTCGCTGAACATAGCGGACAAGGAGGACTACTGAGACCTCAAGAACAATGGCAACGGGTTAAGATTAAATTTTTTGTTGGTACCAAAGGTTTAAAGGAAATAAGAATAATCCAAGCTAGAATGCAATCAGTAAAGAGGTCAATTATATGATTGTAAATCTCAATAAATTTTGTGTAGGAGAAAAGAAAGCAGTGCAAGATAAAATATACTCAGTTGAGAAGTGACATTCACTCATTTTGGTTAAGATGGTAACATGGCTTAATATTGTATCTTTCTTTTATTCCCCAACATTCTCAAGTGCTCTTTGCAGTGTCTTGCTGTATCACAGTCTGAGTAAGTTCTCTAAGGTTATTATTTACATTCGTACTGTTTACATCCAGTGCGGAAATAGCCTGGCTACCAGGATCCTTTTGATTAGTTTTATAATTAGCATGCAAAATAATGGTTTTAATTAACTATAGAGTTTCTCTCATATGAATTTGTATGAGATATAAATCACAAGGCATTTAAGCATAAAGTATGTTTTTTTGCCTCTTTTTAATTTATTTATTTATTTATTAAAGATTTCTGTCTCTTCCCCACCGCCGCGCAATGTATAAGTATTGTGAGGTATAAAGTTAGCTATATGACAAATGTATGCACTCTCTATAGAGCACCATTTTCCCTGTAGTCTCACTTGCATTCTTTGCTTTTACTGATCTTTTTCCATCTCTAGCCTCCTGTGTCCCTCTGCCCTCTTCTGTAGCTCTCCTTCCTCCCTTCAGTAGACTTCTTTCTAATTTCAGGTCACATATAATCTGGGTGATGATTAATTATGCCAACCAACTTGACAGGACCTACAACCATATAGGAGACAAGATTATGGACATATCTGTGAGAAATCATCTAGATTATTCTAACCTAGCCACGCTTGTAAGAAATTATCTTGGTTAAATTATTTTAAGTAGGATATACCCTTAATGTAGATGGCACCGATTTATTGGTTTGAGTTATAAACTTTATAAAATGAGAATGGTAACTAAGCACAAAAATCCAGCTCCCTCTGTTTCACAATTGTGGATCCAAAGTGACCAATATAATTTATAGATATGGAAATATGTCACTACATATATATGAGAGAAAAATAGTATTTGTTTTTGTAAAAGGAATTGCTTAATCCATTTTCCTTCAAGTGAAATAATTTCAGCCCCAGATCTGTACCCAAAAGAAATATAAATACTCATAAAGAAATGCTATGTCAATCACATTTTCCCACAAGTGTCTATCGAATTTTGAGTTAGAACCAACCTGAACATGAGTGATTAAAAACAATGCCAATCCAAATTTACCTGAAAACCCTCCTTACTTTTGCCTTCACTTTTTCCCCTTGCCCTAGGTCCCTTACATATGACTAACATTTACTATGGCACCAGGAATCTCCCTACAATGTTCTGCTAATTCCCAGTAAATGCCATTGCCCTTCAGAGATATTTTTCTGAGTTGAAATCTGTTGAACAACAATAAGTAGGAGGAATTTGAATTGTACTTAATATTGTGAATGACTCTAACCTACACCAGGGAAGATATCTGGAAGAGTAAGAGCTGAATCTGAAGTGTGGTCTTTCATAGTTTGACGTGACATTTCCTGGGTAGATATGCAGCCCCAACGTGATGTGGCATTGCAGAATGTTGCTGTGCATTTCATAGTTATCCTGAGTATGTATTTTTAGGAGGTGGCTTACATTTTGTCCATTATTTCTGTCTTTCAGAATTGATCTCTCATTTACATCCCCCCAAACAAGGTAAGACAGCCAACTCTGTTGGACAGACTCTCAAATGTCAGCCTCCAACCCTTAAAAGCCATTATTTTTTAAGTTCTTGCACTTTTCTTTCATGTAGCTTTTCCTTGTATTATTATTCTGATATGAGGGCCTTCCCTGGGTCACAGCAGACAAATATTAAAAGTACAATTCAGTAACCAATTCCTAGTCACTTAAAAAAAAATGTTTTCTTCTCCAATGGGACTAATATAAGAGAATGTAAATTTCTTTACTTTGTTCTTTCCTTTTTCATTAACAAATAATAATTATCATGTAGGCAGTTAAACAATGTTTGGATGTATATTCACAACAAGAGTGGTTAAATCAAAGTAATTAATATAAATCATTACAACATGAATTTTTAATGGTCAGAGTATAAGCCACCTGAAGCTATTTCTTATTCTAAGAACTAGAGAATGTAAGTAGTTAGTAAGTGGAGTTGGGTTAGTGATTAAAAGTGTGCCATTCAGCAAGGAAAAAGTCACAGTTTTACTATTGCTGCAAACAGGACAAAGAAAGTGCTGAGGATGAGGAAGAAAAATAGGAGAGAATGAAGAGGGAAAAGAAGGAGAAAGAGGAAGAAAAGGGGAAGAAGCAGAAGAGGAAGGAGGAGAAGAAAAGGGAGGGAGAAGGGGGAAAGAAGAAAGAGAGAGAGGGAAGGAAGGAAGGAAGGAAGGAAGGAAGGAAGGAAGGAAGGAAGGAAGGAAGGAAGGAAGGAAGGAAGGGGGATGGAAGGAGGGAGGGAGGAAAAAGGGAAGGAAGGAAAGGTGAAAGACATGGTTGACAATGAGATATTGGAGAGATGTTTTAGAGATTACTTTGGCAAAACAGGAAATTATTTTTTTCCAGAATAGAGGGAAACAGATATGTCCTGGTGTCTGTCTGTTGCTGTGATAAAACACTGACCTAAACCAATTTGGAAAAGAAAGGGCTTTTTTGGCTTACACCTACCAACCACAATTCATCATTGAAGGAAGTCAGGGAAGGGAACTCAAGCAGTAACAGAGGCAGTAAAGATAGAAGAATGCTGTTTCCAGTCCAAAACGCCACAGATCCTTCACAGTCTTCCCAAAGAACAACACAGTCATGGAGGTGAAACTGCAGTAAGAATGTAATGTATGAGAGAAGAATAAATTTAAAAAATCATGAGGCATCCCCACACCCATGTGGAAGTTCATCTCTCTGTGGACAGTTTACCTTGTGTTGATTCCTACAAATGGAACTAGAAAGGTCACTGGCTGTTTTTACACTCATTTCTAATACAGATTTCTAAATTGCCTCCCAGGACTATTTACTCTGTATCTTTCTTTTTTTTTTTTTTTGGTTTTTCGAGACAGGGTTTCTCTGTGGTTTTGGAGCCTGTCTGTATCTTTCTTGAAGAGGTGACCTGAGGTTTAACTTTCTGTTATGTTTCATCCTAAGTATTTGTGTCATTGAATTCATGCTTTTGATGTGATAATTACACATAATGTATATTAAAAGGTGTGACTGAACAGGAAGAAAAGAACAAGACTGTCAAGTCCATTTTAAGGAATACCAATATCAATTTCTATTCTAATTACATTTGGTTGCCCTGATAAAATACAAAAATCAGCTTGAGAAGGAAGGGATTATGGGTTAACATTTAACAATCCCAAACCATCACTGAGGGAAACCAGGGCAAGAACTCAAACAGGGGCCGACGATGGTAACATGGAGGAATTCTGCCAATCTGCTTGCTCTTTGTTCCTTGTTCATCCTGCTTTCTTGTAGAAAACGGGACAGCCTTCCAAGAACATCGTCCACTGTGGAATAGACCCTCCTACATCAATCGCTAGTCAAGAAAAAGCCCTACAGATATGTACACAGGCCAATCTGACAGAGAAAATTCCTTGATTGAGATTCATTCTTCCCAGGTGACTTTAGTCTGTGTCAAACTGATAAAAAAAAAAAAAAAAAAAAAAAAAAAAAAAAAAAAACTAGTCAACACAGATGGTGAGAAGAACTCTGACAAATGAGATCCCTCACTGCTAAAGGACTTTCACTGAGGAAACCAGCATCTCCAACCTGAACCCATCTCTGAGACATAATGAGGCTTCCTTGGACGTTTTGCAGATATTTTGTGTCACAAGCATGAAAGGCAGCAAGAGACACCGGCTTTAGATGTATGCGGGGGTAGTGAGAGAGTGATCAGTACCCTGTCTCCAGGGTACTGATTTGAATTGGCTTTTCAAAGTCAAGTCTGAGTCATGCACGATAGCTCCGGCTTGCAATCACAACACTCAGAAAGCTGAGACAGAGGACTAACCCGAGCTCCAAGTAAGTCTTGGTTATAGACTGAGTTTAAAGTCTATCTGGGTTACACAGTGAGACCAACCTCAAGAAGCAAACAATTTCAAAGTTAGTTTACAATATGAACTAATTTTATATTCTGAAATCATTCTCTTTTCCAGAAATTTCCATTGCTAACTGTGTCTTTCCATTCGTCTATGGTGATGAAGTCCACTACAATTGTATTTCCACCCACAGTGACTTCGACTGGTGTTCCCTTGACTTTTACTTCCAAGGAAGGTGGAGATACTGCACAGCACTGGGTGAGAGTCCCATAAGAGTATATATAAGATGGCAGAACCCCAGAGGAAAAAGGTTTCGGATTTTGGGGAAAAAAAATAAGCTCAGATATTGTCTTCTCTGCATAATTTGCAGAACTTGAAAACAATCTGTTAGAAAAAATAATTGTTTTCTCCACAGGTATTAATTTGAGGACAGTGTTCTTAATGTATCCTTTACCCATTTTTCTCTGCAGATCCTCCAATGTGTATCTTCCCTTTTCAATTTAGAAAAAAGTTTATTAACGAATGTACCAAGGAAGGCTACATTTTGAATCGGAGTTGGTGTTCACTGACTGACAACTACAACAGAGATAGGAAATGGAAGCAATGCTCTCCTTACAAGTAAGATGATGGGAGAATGTGGAACAATGTCCTATGAGCTATGAAAGGAGCAAGACATTTGGTTGATGGATGAGGAGCCTGAGATCTTGGTCTCCTGGCTATGACTTAGTCAGGGGCCAACAGACACTTCCTGTGAAGTATCTCCTGTTGAGTACAGCAGACTTACCAGACTATGTAGTGCTGGTCACAAATATTCAGCTTGGCTTTGTAGCACAAACACAGTCACAAACAAAACAAGTACACTGGATCATCGGCAAATCTGACAGGCTGGTATCCTTTTACATGCTGTTTAATAATTACAGTTGTGTGTTCATTTTGTCATTGCTGTGATAAAACACCCAAGGAAAGCAACTCAACCAAGGAGGGAAGGGTTTAATTGGGTTCTCATTTTGCTATGGGGATACAGTCCATCATGGTTTGAACAGTGCCTTAGGACAGCTGATTACACTGTGTCTGCAATCAGACAACAGCAGAAGAATGTGCTGATACTCAACTGGCCTCCTTTTTCCTTGCTATACTGTCTGAGGCCTCATCTGAGCTGTTGTTGCTTATATTCGGGTGAGTTTTTAACTCCTCAGTTAAACCTTTTCTGACATGCATGCATTTGTGTCTCCAAAGTGATTGCAATTTCAGTCACATTAGCAATTATTACTAATTAGCCGCCTCATTATGAATGCATTGTTTACAGTTTTAAAACTTGTTTTGAGTCAGGAAATAAGTATGAGATAGAAACTCAGTGAAACACGGAAGCAGCGTAACAAGAGAAACATCTGCGTTTTTTTCTGTTCTCTCCTGGAACTCTCTCCCACACAAGATGTGTGCATGTGCTGCCCCACACACCTACACAGATACAAAATTTTAAGGACTTTAAAACATAATTGAATCTGCTCTCCCCTTTGCCATCATGACTTGGTCATTACCTAAAACATATTGTGTGAGCTTTCCCTGTGAATGCATCATTCTCCACCACTTTCTTGTGTGCATGCATATCAAATCTTAGATGGTTGGAGAGTCTCCATCATCTACATAGGAGATTTCTGATTTAAACAAATTCCCTGACCATTGACAGTGATCAATGAATTGTGTCTTTCAAACAGCAGGCTGTACATGTTATGTTATTTTTTTAAGTATATTCAGTTTTTATAATCAGGAATGCATGCACTCTTCTTAGGTCACATCTCCTGCCCCGTGGACCCAAACTATTCTGATCTCTCCTCAGAGAGAAAAAAAACTATTTATTAGAGAAGAAGACACGTGTAATATTGATCTTTGGGCAGGAGGGGAGACTGAGACATTCGTTCTAATGTGTTCTTTTCATCTCAGTTTTTAGGTAAACATGGGTGTTTTTGAAGAGACAGAAGTTACAAATCCATCAGATGTCTCTCCAAATATAATTCTTTTATCATTACGGAACATTCTGATAATAAATGCTTGTTCTCTTGTCTACACTGGTGTTTTGCTTTCCTAGGATGGGTGGAAAGAATAAATCACATTGATAATCAATTAATTCTCGCATGGTGGTGTTGTAACCCAGGTGAAGGTCTTGAGGTGGCTGGTTACAATGTGTCTGCAGTCAGGACACAAAGGGGTGGATTCTGATGCTCAGTAGACCTACACCTGTTTCACCCAGAGACCTCAGTACATGCAATCATGCTACCCACACTTCAGTGGGGATTTTCCATCCTCAAAGTCTTCTGAAAATGCTCAAATCAAAAGTACCTCTAGTTTGTGGCAAGTTAACCAAACTCTCATGGTACCTAAAGCTTATCATAAGTTTTAATTTTTGATGGAAATAAAATATGCAGCTTAAAACTTTGGAGCTGAAACTCATATGAAGTACTGTGAAATGATTTTAACAAGTTAAACATCTGAGTTTAACAAGTCAGTGGCATTTAATACAATCAGAATGTTGAACAACGACCTCCACCAAGTTGCAAACATTTTTATCAGCACGGAAGGAAGTTCTGTCCCCACTAAGCAGTAATCACCCACCTTCTTTTCCCTCCAGACCCTGACAGCCACAAACCTTTCTTTTGCTATAACGTTAACAATTGTGGATGTTCCCCATCACCAGAATCGTACAGCATGTGACAATTTGTGCCTGGCTTATTTTCATCAAACTAATGCTTTGGAGAGTGACTCACATTTTTCCATCTCACTACTTTGTTTCTTCCTATGACCAAATAATACTCCACTGTGTGGGTAAACTACCTGTTGTTTATCAATTAATATGTATGTCTTGAAAGTGCATGTCTGTTGTGTGGAAATTGACTAATTTTCTTTTTTATCACATGCATTTTATTTACTTTTTAAATTTCATTTTACCCTCCCACCACAATTCTCCCACCCCCACCACTCTCCCACCTCCCTCGCCTCCCCCCAAGCCTATCCCCCACCCACTTCTCCCAAGGGTAAGGGCTCCCATGAGGAGTCAACAAAGTATGTCACATTAACTTGGGGCAGGACTAAGCCCCTCCCCGCTGCATTGAGGTTGAGCATGAAATCCCATCATAGGGAATGGATTCCAGCAAGCTAGCTCATGCACCAAGAATAGATCTTCGACTTATTGCCAGGGGCTTGTCAGATAGTCCAAGCATCATCACTGTCTCCCACATATGAAGGCTCTAGTTTGGTCCCATTGAGGCTCCACAGTTATCAGTTCCCATGAAATCCCATAAGGTTGGTTCAGTTGTCTCTGTAGATTTCTCCATCATTATCTTGACCTCCCTTGTTAATATATTCCCTCCTTCCTCTCTTCAACTGGATTCAAAAGCTAAGCCATTCATGTTTAATTAATCTGTTACAAGTGTCTCTCATATTTTGATTTAGAAATTCATTTCTTTCACTGGGTTAAGAAAACTACTACAGTCTCACTGATTATATTGTCTATGTTGTTAGACTTTCTGTACTTATCTTTCTACACCATGGATTCTTGGGGGCTTATCTCTTTTTTTTTTCATTTTTTTTATTTTATTGAGAATAAGAAAAAAAAGTTTCCGCCTCCT